TCCACCTACCTCAGCCTCCCAAAGTCCTGGGATTACAGGCATGAGCCACCACGCCCAGATACTTTATAGTTCTTAAGAGTCTTTATCAGCTAAAACTGTTTTCCATTTCTCTTCATGCTAACAGTTATTATAATCCTTTCATTATCCTCCTTTCTTCCTTCCTTGCCTCCAGCCCACAAAATACCAGATTAGCCGATTAGTATCTGTAGGGAGCCAGCCCTACATCACCCGTGGGTACCCTGAGTTCAGTGGTGACAAAGGAATGAGAAAAAGACAGAGTAAGAGAGACAGTGGGACCAGGGGGCCATCACTTTATTAGTCTGGAGGAGGCAGTGAAGGCCCCGTGCTCTGATCATCCACACTGTTTATTGATTACAATCACTTTGATCTATAGCGTAGGGGTGGAGTGATGGTGGAGTGAGTCAGCCAGCCAGAACTGGTGTATCATTCTAAAGGTTGGTAACAGTGACCATTTGAGAGTTTCACAAATAAGAACATGTAGTTATCTTTAACTTATTATCTATGTGCAGCTGGTGAAATGTGGGCCTTACCAGGAGCCTACAAGTATGGCTATGTCATAGTGCTACAAGGAGTTTTACATCCTTGAGCACAGTGTTTATGGTAACAGAGCTGAGGTCCGCCTGCACTGGAACATGAGGCCTGAAGAGGCCTTCCTCCTGAGAGGCCTCCTGAGGCCATCCACAGTTTGTTGTTCCTTGTTTTTATGTTAATCGTAACCAATTTATGTAGGCACTCTGTAAGTCCTTTCTCCTTTGCTACTTTTCCCAATAGTGTCCTGATTAGCTGAAGCTCCATGGAAACATAAGTAGTACCAATCTATGATCCTTAGCACAATGTGCCTGCATCATCTGTAAGGTGGAGGTAGTGGTGGTGGTTGTCGGTTGTTGGTGGTGAGAGATGAGTAGGGACTGACTAATAATTTTTCAAGGGTGGAGTGATTCATGTTTTTATCCCTGTGATTCCTAGAGCAGCTATGATTTACGATTTCTTGAAACCTAAGGCTTTACCAGTCACAGTAGCACAATTTTCCCCTCTAATAATCCCTTCCCAATTCTAGCTTGTTTGTCTTAATCTGTTAGTCAATATTAGGGAATTGAGATGTAACTAGAGATGAGGTGGATCAAAGGAAGTCCGTTTTGCTGATAGCTAAGTGCCCACAGGTGCTGATGAAATTACTTTGAGGTCATATTTGTGGCACACATAGAGATGACATTCCACATTTCACACTGATTACTGTGTGAGCAAAGATGACACCCACAGAGAAGTTCTAGAAAACTCTGCTCTAAAGTTTGTGTCTTGTAGAAATATGGCTGTAGTTGCCAAATTATTTACCTGGAATAAATGCCATTTCTCAGGTAGAGCTAAAGACATGTCATCATATTAAAAGTAACTGGAGATGATACAATGAAATTTTAGTGTTTAGGTAAATTTTCGTATTTTTTATATTAAAAATAATATAAACCTGGATTTCTTTACAGGTGCCAAAGAACGTTCTGAGATCTGTGAAGCATTTGAAAACATCTATCCTATTCTAAAAGGTTTTAAAAAAGCCTGAGTGTATCATCATTCGACATCTCACATTATTCTGGTTTGAATATGTGTGTATGCCCAGCACAGAAACAGCTGGATTCTTCTACCTTTGATTGTAGATGTTCCAAGTATATTACTTACTTGATTGTAGATGTTCCAAGTACATTACTTATTTCATTACTATGTAAGTAACCTGTCTACGAATTGAAGAAAACTTACTCAAAATGACTTTTCTGTGTTATTTTAAAAATTGAACAAAAACATTTCAAAATTTGAGTGATTTAGGGTCTCACTAGAATGATATTGTAGCATCATTAAGACTCAAAGCGTTTCCTTTTGGCCAGAAGGGCCACCATCCAGTAATTTGCCAAAATGATGAACACAAAGGGAAAGAGGAAAGGCACCTGATACATGTTCTCTAGGCCTTTTAGAAAATATGGAGCTGTTCCTTTGGCCACATACACGCAAATCTACAAGAAAGGTGATATTGTAGACATTAAGGGAATGGGTGCTTTTCAAAAAGCAGTGCCCCACAAATGTTACCACGGCAAAGCTGGAAGACTCTACAATGTCACCCAGCATGCTCTTGGCATTGTTGTAAACAAGGGCAAGATTTTTGCCAAGAGAATGAATATGTATAATGAGTATACTAAGCACTCTAAGAGCCAAGTTCATTTCCTGAAACCGTGAAGGTAAATGATCAGAAAAACAAGTCAAAGCGTGAGGTGTCTGAGTTCAACTGAAGCACCAGCCTGCTCCATCCAGAGAAGTACACTATGTGAGAACCAAAGGAGAGGAGCCTGGGCTGCTGGAACCTATTCCCTATGACTTCCTGGCAAAATAAGTGTCAAAAGAAAACCATTCTGAACTATACAAATGTTTGTCTTCATTGAGAAGTGGTGCCACCTCCCCTAAGAAATAGAAATATTTAAACTACATTTTGTATCCAAAAAACCTCAGTGCTCTAATGCTAAGTAATACATTAATATGGGTTCTCTGAAAATATATAGCAACGCGTAGGAATTTCAAATAACTGAGTAAATTAGGTACTAGCTGTGATATCTAGCAGAATAGGAATTAATTTGTATATTTTTTGCCTTTTAAAATATTGAACGGTTGATCCCGATCATCTGTTGTGATTATGCCTAATCAACAGTGTTAAGCACTGTGAAGGATTCTGTGTGAATACAAATGAAACCTAAGTCTGAGACCTTAAAAAATAATCCTAGGCCGGCGTGGTGGCTCATGCCTATAATCCCAGCACTTTGGGAGGCCGAGGCAGGCGGATTACCTGAGAGGTTGGTAGTTGGAGACCAGCCTGCCCAACACGGAGAAACCCCGTCTCTACTAAAAATACAAAATTAGCTGGGCATGGTGGTGCATGCCTGTAATCCCAGCTACTTGGGAAGGCTGAGGCAGGAGAATCGCTTGAACCCGGGAGGTGGAGGTTGCGGTTGTGGTGAGCCAAGATCGAGCCATTGCACTCCAGCCTGGGCAACAGGAGTGAAACGCTGTCTCAAGAAAAAATAAATAAAAAATAATCCTTTTTAAATGATCAGAGAATGGTCACTTAAAGATTTTAAACTTTGAGGAACCATTCAAGTTTAGTATAAACTCTATTCTAAAATAAGAATTTTTGCTTTTGCTTGCTGTTGTAATCCTATGTGATTGTATTTAAAAAGACTGGGTAAGATTAAGAAGACCAGGAGCAAAGAGCTCAGATTCAAGACCTAATTAGCTTTAGAATCACCAGCATTTGATGGTGATGTGGAGATTCACAGGGAGGGTCGGGCTAACGCGAATCACGGCTTTGGCGGTAACTCATCAGTGATTATGTCCTTCACCAAGGTAAGAAAACAGGTTTGTGGGGAGGTAGAGGTCAGTTTCTAACAATTTTTTTTTAACTTTGTGGTGTCCTGGAATGTTACTTGATACCTAGTTAGCAGTTCTGAATCTTTGGGTATGGAAGTTGAAAAAGAAATCCAGGCTATAGAGAGAAGTCAGGGCAGTTTATCAGTGGATAGCCTAGTAAAATCCTTGAAAATCACTGGTTTATTTACTTAAAGACGGAGTCTCGCTTTGTGGCCACAGCGGTACGATCTCGGCTCACTGCAACCTCCGCCTTCTGGGTTTAAGCGATTCTCCTGCCTCAGCCTCCCGAGTAGCTGGGACTACAGGCGTGTACCACCCCACCCAGCTAATTTTTGTATTTTTAATAGAGACGGGGTTTCACCATGTTGGCCAGGATGGTCTCGATCTCTTGACCTCGTGATCCACCCACCCCAGCTTCCCAAAGTGCTGGGATTACAGGCATGAGTCACCGCAACTGGCCCTCGCTGGTCTATTTAATCTGACCCGTGAATCCACTTCTTTTCTCTGTAGTTTAGAGGCATATTCAAATACTAATCACTCTTGATTCTGTCAACACACCACCTTAAATATCCCTGCCCCCCAAAAGAAACTTGAAGGGAGCTAGGCACGGTGGCTCACACCTGTAATCCCAGCACTTTGGGAGGCTGAGGTGGGCGAATCACCTGAGATCAGGAGTTCGAGAATAGCCTGGCCAGCATGGCAAAACCCTGTATCTACTAAAAAATACAAAAATTAGCCAGGGGTGGTGGCGTGAGCCTCTAATCCCAGCTACTCGGGAGGCTGAGGCAGGAGAATCGCTTGAACCCGGGAGGCAGAGGTTGCAGTGAGCCCAGATAGCGCCACTGCACTCCAGCCTGGGCGACAAAGCGAGACTCCGTCTCAAAAAAAAATAACAAACTTGAAGGGAAGTCCTACCTATCTACCTAGTTCAATTTCTCTTAGAGTAGGGCCCAGGGTAGGGAAGGTACGTTAGCCAGATTAACTTTTCATAATAATACAATTCTGATTTTGCAAGTTCATTTTTGGTTTTCACTATTATTGGTAAACTACAAAACTATTAACCATATTTATTAATCCTCACTGCATTAGGTACTATAATCCTATCCATTTAACCTGAGGAAACAGGAGCAGAGATTAAGGAACTTGCTCCAAGCCACAGCTATTAAGCATGCGAGTGAGCCAAAATTCAACCTACTTCCAAGACCCTGCCCTTTCACCCTACTGTGTTTGCTGTAGTTTTATCCAGATTTAAAAGCATCCACAGCAAGTTAAATTCCCCTATTCCGCTCCCATTCTGTTTTCCCAGACGCCTTAGAGTATGGTATTAGAATTTTCTGCACAAGTTTGAGGCTTTAATTCGTAGTTTTAGCCTGAGCCAGCAGATGATGACATTTGTTTGGCAGACTCGCCCCGCTAATATAATTCTCCCTGCTTCAGCACCTGTTGCCCCGCAGCAGATCGGAGAAACAACGGCGCCTCTGACAGGCGCCAGGGGCGGCAGAGGGGTCCGGGGGCGTGGCCTGGGGCTCTCCGGGATCCCAGACGGCCTACCCCAGGCCCCTCCTCCTGGCCCAGAATGCACCCGGTTGAAAACAAAATCCCACGTGACTGGCTCTGCTCTCAGGCTATCATGGCGTCTCCCAGTGGGAAGGGAGCCCAGGCGCCGGAGGCTCCTGGCTGCGGGCCCCGGCCGCTCGCCCGGGACCTGGTGGATTCCGTGGACGACGCGGAGGGGTTGTACGTGGCTGTAGAACGCTGTCCGCTTTGCAATACTACACGCCGGCGGCTGACCTGCGCCAAATGCGTTCAGAGCGGCGATTTCGTCTACTTCGACGGCCGCGACCGGGAGAGGTACGGCGGCCGTCACGGCCCTATTGTTTCTTCTGCTGTGTCTCCTCCAGGCAGGCGGCTGAAGGCTGGAACTTGGGGCTCCCCTTCCGTGCACCAAATCCTAGCGAGAGGAGGAAGAGCGAGGGAGTGTAGCTAGCTGCTCTGCACCGGCGCTTTGCTACCGGGGGACTGCGTAGGGGCCTGATGAGGGAAGGCCGCTGTTTCCCCATCAATTACCCAAGAGAAGTTTGACCCCCCGGTGCTCTTGGTCACTGGGGAAAGAAGGAGTAAGTGGTGACTCTCTGGAGAAGTTTTCTTTTGTTGTTGAGATTGAGTTGGATTCCCAGCTCTTTGCTGTATGTACTTCCATTCAAAAGCTTGGCTTTCTATTTTCGAAAGCACATATATATTCATTCTCTAGAGGAGAGAGTAAAAGAATCAAATAACTGCTTTAGCGGGATTTGGGCCTGGTAGTCTCTCGAAGATGGAGTTTGTTATTAGATTTGTGTACTCTAATTTGTGAATTACGGCTTGCTGTTAACTCCCCTTTCCTTTCCCTGCTTCTAAAGATTATTTTGGATTCGTAGGAATTTGGGGACGTGTTTTGGCCTTGTTTTAAAATTCAGACTGGGAGCTGCATGCCCTTAGTTAAGAGAATTGCATTAGGAACATGTTTTGGTTTCATTTCGAAATCTGAACAGAGAGCTACAAGTTTTTGCTTAAGAAAATTGAAAAATTAGTGTGATTAGCTGTAGGTTCTCCCACTCTCAGCTTCTGTTTTAACAACTTAGTGTCAATGATAGTAAGACAGCTAACATTCTGAGCATATAAGTTCAGGTATTAATTCATTTAAATCAACGCAATAACTTATCCCCAACTTACTGCTAAGGAAGTTGTACAGTAAGTGTTTTAACCTAGGCCACAAAGATAAGTGTAGGAACAAGAATTAAAATCTAGACAGCCTGGACCTATGTACCCGCACCTAACCACTAGACCTTATCCTCTATCTGGGAATGTTTTGAGTTCTTAGTATTTATGTGATTGTGGATGGAGTTTTTTCTTTCTCTTTTGAGGAGATTTGAATGACAGAATCTTTTTAGTTTGTTGCTCTTATTGGTCCTCCTAATGATTTTAGAAACTGCTTATTTAGTGATAGCTTTCAAAATTAAACCGGTTGGCCGGGCGTGGTGGCTCACGCCTATAATCCCTGCACTCTGGGAGGCCGAGACGGGTGGATCAAGAGGTCAAGAGATAGAGACCATCCTGGTCAACATGGTGAAACCCTGTCTCTACTAAAAATACAAAAAATTAGCTGGGCATGGTGGCAAGTGCCTGTAATCCCAGCTACTCAGAAGGCTGAGACAGGAGAATTGCCTGAACCCAGGAGGCGGAGGTTGCGGTGAGCGAGATTGCCATTGCACTCCAGCCTGGGTAACAAGAGCGAAACTCCATCTCAAAAAAGAAAAAAAAGTTAAACCGGTTATAAGAATACTCGGTATGAGATGGAAATGTCAAACTGATGGAGTTAATTGGGTATTTATTATTTCTGGACCTTCTTCTCTTGCTACACATTTTCCTAGATCTATTCACATAATTTAAATACTATATATGCTTAAGACTGCCAGACTTGTCTGGGTACGGTGGTTCACTCCTGTTATCCCAGGACTTTGGGAGGCAAGAGGTGGGTGGATCACGAGGTCAGGAGATGGAGACCACTGAGGCTAACACGGCGAAACTTCATCTCTACTAAAATTACAAAAAATTAGTCGGGTTTGGTGGCATGTGATCTGTAGTCCCAGCTACTCAGGAGGCTGAGGCAGGAGAATCGCTTGAACCCAGGAGGTGGAAGTTGCAATGAGCCAAGATCTTGCCACTGCACTCCAGCCTAGGTGACAAAGTGAGACTCCATGTCAAAAAAGGAAAAAAAAAAAAAAAAAAACTGCTAGACTTATATCTCTAACCTAAACTTTTCTGAAGTCCAGAAAATAGCTGCCTTTTCAACATCAATATTTAATTTTGTAATAGGTATTTCCATTTTAATATGGCAAACTGAACTCCTTATTTTTCCTCATAAATCTGTTTTCCCATGCTCATTCCAACCCAGTAAATATCAGTCTCATTATTCCTTGGGTTCAGGCTGAAAAACCTTTCAGTTCTCCTTATCTCCTCTCTTAAGCCACTCTATTTAGTCCCGTCAACAAATCCCATCAACTCTTCAAAACTTAAATCTAACCCTTTCACCATCACCTGGTCTTATCTATCAGAAACATAAAATTATTGCCTCTGATGTCTCTGCCTCCATCCTTGCTCCCCCTTTAATGTAATTTCTGTATTGCAGCCAGTTATGCTACCCCTGCATTTCTCTGTTCACATCTTCGAGTGGTTTTTCATTTTACCCAAAGTAAAAGCTGGAGTCCTTAACCAAAGTTTTATATTATCTGTTCCTCCTCTGAGTTAATCGCCTGTTTTCTACCTTACCGGCTCTGTTGTGCAACTGTGGCCTCCTTGTCTGTCCTCAAACATACCAAGAATACTCCTTCCTAAGGGCCTTTGTAATGGTATTCAGACAGCCAGGAACTCTTTTCCTCTCAGAAATCTTCAAGGCTGCCTCCTTTGTTTTCTTTTTAGGTGCCTGCTCATACATTAGAGAGACTTCTTTCTGATCCTTCTATTAAAATGCTAACCTCTTGGCCAGGTGCAGTGGCTCACGCCTGTAATCCCAGCACTTTGGGAGGAGGGTGGATCACCTGGGGTCAGGGGTTTGGAACCAGCCTGACCAACATGGAGAAACCCCGTCTCTACTAAAAGGACAAAAAATTAGCCAGCTATGGTGGTGGATGCTTGTAATTCCAGCTATGTGGGAGGCTCAGGCAGGAGAATCTCTTGAACCCGGGAGGCGGAGATTAAGGGGAGCCGAGTTCATGCCCTTGCATTCCAGCCTGGGCAATAAGAGCAAAACTCAAAATGAAATGAAATGCCAACCTCTTCCCTATTTAACTAGCTTTATTATCTTTTCCATAGCACTTGTCACCATCTGATGTTGTGCATATTAATTTGCCTAACTGCTCCCCACCTCAGTGTTGGAAACTCTGTGAGGGCAAGAGTTTTTCTCTTTTGTAACTGTCGTATTCTTAAATAGTAGAAGCTAAGTAAAGATTTATGGGATGATTGAACTGACTCTACTCCTTTTTCCCAAACACAGTCTGTTTCTAGACCATTTCAGTGTTATCCATTACGATCCATTTGTTACTAAAGCCGGAAACCTGGGAGTTATCCTAGACTTTTTCCTTTTCTCGTACTCTCTACATTCAGATAATCAGCAAGTCTGATTCACTTTGATGTCAAAATATATCTTGAATCTATCCACTTTTAGTTCAGACCACCATCATTTTTCTCCTGACTACTTAGTGATCTCCCTTCTTTTACTCAGACAAGTCTTCCCTACCTTGCCTCTAGTCTCCAAACAGCAGACACGATAGAAATGTAAATGAAATAATGTCATGGTTTTGCTTAAACCTTTCATTGGCTCCTGTTGCATTTAAAATAAAATCCGAGGTCCTTACTATGGCATATGACGCCCCGTGTGATTTGGTGACTATTTACCTCTCTACCTTAGACTGTAAGGTTGAATTAAAAATGTGGGCTTTGGGGCAAGGCACAGTGTGGCTCATGCCTGTAATCCTAGCACTGTGGGAGGCTGAGGCAGGCAGAGCACCTGAGGTCGGGAGTTTGAGACCAGCCTGACCAACGTGGAGAAAACCTGTCTCTACTAAAAATGCAAAATTAGCCAGGCGTAGCGGCGCATGCCTGTAATCCCAGCTACTTGGGAGGCTGAGGCAAGAGAATGACTTGAACCGGGAGGCGGAGGTTGCGATGAGCCAAGATCATGCCATTGCACTCCAGCCTGGGCAACAAGAGGGAAACTCTGTCTGAAAAAAAAAAAAAAGTGAGCTTTGGACTCACACTCCCTTGAATTGAATCCAAGCTCTACCACTTGCTATGTGATTTTTTTTTTGACAGGGTCTTGCTGTGTCACCCAGGCTGGAGTGCAGTGGCACAGTCATAGGTTGCTGCAGCCTCAAATTCCTGGGCTCAAGCAATCCTCCTCCCATCTCAGCCTCTTGAGTAGCTGAGACTACAGGCATGCACCACCACACCTGGCTAATTTTTAAACTTTTTGTTGAGTCAAGGTCTCCCTCAGTTTTCTAGGCTGGTCTTGAACTTGTGGGTTCAATGATCCTCCTGCCTCAGCCTCCCAAAGTGTTAGGATTACAGATATGAGCCACCGTGCCTGGCTGCTATGTAAGTTTGAGCAATTTTTTGGTTGCTGGGGAGAGTACAGGGTCTCACTCCGTCACCCAGGTGGGAATGCAGTGGCAAGATCACGGCTCACTGCAGCTTTGACCTCCCTGGGCTCAAGCAGCTCTCCTGTCTCAGCTTCCCTGGTATCTGGGACGACAGGCACGTGTCAACATGCCTAACTAGTTGTTTTTGTTTTTGTTTTTTTGTTTTGTATTTTTTGTAGAGACAGGGTGTTCCCATGTTGCCCAGGCCAGTCTTGGACTTCTGAGCTTGAGCCACTCGCTAGCCTCAGCCTCCCCATGTGCTGGAATTACAGGCATGAGCCACTGTGCCTGGCCCTGAGCATGTTTTTTGACCTCATGTTTATTTCATTTGAAAATGGCAGAGTATCTAACTTCATAGGTTTCTAGTAGTGATTACAAAAGAGCACCCATTTAAAGTGTTTAGCATGATTGCCACAGTGTATTAAGCACTCAGGTAAATTCATCCCTGTGCTCCCTCTTTTTCACTGCTCCACAGTTGCAGGCCTTCTCTCAAATCCTCAATCACATGAAACTTCCACCACTGTGGCTTTTTCCTTGCGGTTCCTTCTGGCTGGGACACTTTTCCTCCTGATAGATACCTTGTGTTTCACCATTCAACTTAAATGTCACTTCTTTGCTGAGGCCTTCTGACCTCCCTCACTAAGATAGGTTCCCACTTCTATCTTTTCCCCCATT